GAACAATACAAGGTTACAAACATTATCTAACGAGTTCAATAAATAAAATTACGTCAGAACTTGGCCAGTCCACCTGATGTCAAATGCATTTTTATTCCCATCTTAGAATGCAGCCGACCTTGTGTTAGCAAAACTTTCCAAAAGGCTTTTCTAGATCAAAGTAAAGTTGCTGAGAAAAGCCCTTTATGATTAACCCACTCTGACGTTGAAGTAGCACTGACAGGCACAACTCTTCAGATCCTTCGAGCGGTAAGGGTGTTTCTGAAACTGAAACCACCGCACTGCCAACCCTGCATAAAAATAAAAATGAAGGCAGAGAGATGGAGTTCTATTCTGGTTTTTTTTTTTAGAGATTGTATTTTTTCCCTCTCCCTTTGTTGAATTATTGAAGGAGTTAATACAAAAGGCCAACTGGTACCATCTGCGAGCTTTGTTAACCTAAAATTATTTGTGTAAATTACAGTCTCTGAGGAAAAGTCATCTGTAGAGAAGGCTCAAATCTGTAGGGCTTGTAAGAGATCAATGCCTAGAGAGCTTCATTGTGCCTGTTTCCTCACAATTTGGTTTAACAGCTGTGGCACAGAAATACATTCAGACATAAGAGAAAAGAATATCTGTGCCTTACCCACTGTTATTTAGGAGGGGGGATAACAACAGCTTCATACTCAGGGGCTGGTGGGTATTCTTCCAAGAAAAAGGGGGTAGACCATACGGCAGAGTGATCCGGTTTTGGAACAATAAAGGAGTACAAGATCAAACAAAACCCTTACCTGTACAGAAATACCAAACCTACATTCCCCTAAAAGAAAAAAATACCTGTCAGCTAAAGTAAAAAAAACATTTCTAAGTTTCTGCCACTATAGTGCTGAGGACAAGCTGGTATTTAATGCTGTGTGCATTGGCGTTTTCCGTGTTTTACTCACAATGGGTTGTTTTCGCTGCAGTTGACTGCATCCAGCTGAAAGTGCCGGTCATTCAGCAGCTGTACCACTGGGACTGTGGGCTAGCCTGCTCCAGGATGGTGCTTCAGTAAGTGACTCTTTTGGTTTGAACGGCTGGGAAATCCCATCCCGTGGGAGAGGGGTAGCAGGAAGCAATGTCCAGGGAGAAGAGGTGTGTTGAAGCAGCTGTGAGTGTAACGTAGTCTTATGGCTCATGTATTGTCAGGTACCCCTGGAGAATTACTGCTGCTTGGGCCTGGCACAGCTCTACAGCAGGAGCAAGGTAGAATATAAACTGAGATGAACTTAAGACCCTTTTCAATAATTGACTGTTTTGACAGATGCAGAATATCTGATCAGCTCTAAGAACTTTGCAGATTGGCATACATAAACTAATAAAAAGTTATCCCTCTTTCTTGTTATAATTCAGAACCAATATTTAGTACAGCAAGTCACCTGATTCCTTCCTGTGTTTTCAGGTGATGGGTAGGTGTATCCCAGTGGATGAGTATTTACTGCCTCTGTCCAGCTGAGCCCCCAAGCTGTGGGATGAGCATTTTTGTTCCAGAAGTAGTGTCAGCTTCAGAGCAGTGCACTGTATTGCCCTCTGGGGGTTTTTTGGTTTTGTTCTGGTTTTTCTTTTTTTGAACTAGTAGCTGTCAAAGCTGAACTCCTCTTTCCTTCCACAGAGGAACATGAGCTTAGGTGCAGGAGAAATACCTATTTAGATGTCCACTTAGTAGATATGAAGCAGAAGATTTTCATTTCTCTCCATCCCTTCTGCCAAGACGTTAGTCCGTGTGCTGGTAATTTCCCATCTTGACTACTGTAACCTCTGCCTCTTTATTCCCTTTACCTCTTTGCCACTCCAGTCTACCCAAAACTCAGCTTCCAAGATTAATCTTCTCACCCTGCTGTTCTGACCTTGTTTGCCCTGCATCCTCAGTTCCAGTCCTTTTTTTTTTTCATATACTTCCATTTGTTTTCTGACTTCCAGAACTCTCTGTAACTGCCTCTCCCCACCCCTTTGCAACCTGTCCCAAGCTTTTTCCTGACTTTGTCTCCCCTTTATTGCCTTTTGTGCCATCAGTGCCCAAGGCAATCTTCCTTTGAATATTTACTTCCATTACAGTTCCTCCTTTTGAAATCCATCTATTGCGTGAAGCAAGTTTTAGTCTTTAACACTCTCTTCTGTTTGCTCTAATATGCTTGTGCATTTAAACTGTAAGCCCTTCAGGACAGAGTTCTATACTTGCCCACTATAGCTTGCCTATTGTATAGCACCTGTACTTCTAGCACTACAAAACAGTCAAGATACCCATGTATTTCCAATTTTAAAAAGTCAGCAATAAATCCAGTTAAATATTCCCTACTCCCTACCCTTCCCTTCAATTTGTGGCTCCTTTGTGGGTTGGTTTTTTTTCCTGTTGTTTCTTAGCCAAGCCCATTGTTTCAGTTTTTACGTCCTGTGATGTGGAGGCTTGGGCTACAGCACACATTTCGCTTCTCCTAAGATCTGCACTTCCCTTTCCCTGCCTTTTCCAATACCACAGGTACCTGAATCATTTGGACAATGATGAATTTCAGAAAGCCATCCAGGAACTCCAGTTAACAAAGAGTATCTGGACTATTGACCTGGCCTACCTGATGCGACACTTCGGTGTTAAGCACAAATTTTGCACCCAGACGCTTGGAGTGGACAAGGGCTACAAAAATCAGGTTAGTACTCTTGTCTGCTGGGAGACAGCAGTCAGTTTTAGAAGTCCTGTGTGTTATGCTACAAAAGCTCTGCTGTGTTACTAACAGTTCCTGTAAACAGGGTTTGCCTATTGCCAAAACTGGCATGAATCGGTTCCAAAGGCAAGGCGAGATATTTTACATTTTTGGTTCCATAATACGAATTTTAAAAAAGTTTTCATGTAGTGCTCATGAAAGGTTCCAGCCTGTTTGACAGCCTTGGAGACTGAAGCCCTCTATTTATCTACAGAACAGGTACAGCCTGGGCAGCAGCAGTGCTAGCTTCCACACTTTCCCCACCACCGTGCCTCAGCCCTGACCTGGAAGAACCACCTCTAGAGGTGAGAGGGGAACTCAGCCTCCAACTCCATTGAGAGCTTGGCCTCTGCAAGATTGCCAACAAGGGGCCAAGGAGGGTCTACAGTGGCGATGGCTTTTCTAATGCAAGCTTCTGCCCAGTGCAGACCAGACTGGCTTCTTTCATGTAGGCAGCTGAATAGCCACTGGCTGGAAATTACAGCAATAACTGACCAGGAGTGCATTTAAACTTGTAATTTAGAGCAGAAATTTTTATCGTGTTACTGGTGAGCTAAAGGAGACATCTCTTATCCCATAACCAGATCTCCAACTTATGCAGGCCCTTGCTAGCAGGGATTAAATGGTAGATTACCTGAAGTAAACATCATTCCAGTTCATAACTTCTATTATCTCCACAGTCGTTCTACAGGAAGCACTTTGACACAGAAGAGAATAGAGTGAATCAGCTCTTTGCACAAGCCAAAGCCTGCAAGGTGCTGGTGGAGAAGTGGTAAGCTTGTTGTTTAATTTCCTTTCTCTTTGGAGATTTAGCAGGCCACATGCTTTTCTTGGAGTCACCAAGCTAAATTGGTGAAAGAGACTGAAATCAGCCCCCGAGCCTTTTTTGTGAATTACAGTGTCTTTCTATTGTATGTCTCAAAAAACACCCCAAAGGTGGACATCAAGAGTTAATAATGAAGTCTGAGGAAAAATAGTCAGGACACAGAATAAGTGATTTGAAAATGCTGACAAGGAGTTGACTATTTTTCTGTTCTGAATTTGATTATCCATTAAAATTACCCAGTAGGGAGTGCCCACAGCACTCTAATTGGCCATTGTTGAACTTAAGGAGTGCTACATGGGCACACAGCCCGCTGTTCCCAGAGGCATGCAAACATTGTAGCTCTCTGTTTCTGGACAGACACACAAAGAAAAGCTAGCATATGAGCTTTTGCCAAGGGGAGGATGAAATAAGGAACCTCTGTGGAAGAGCTGCAAGCCCAGGAGAAGAGGAAAAACTGCAGAATTGTATCACAACTGACAATGATATTCTACATGGGAAATAACTAAGTGTCCATGTTCAACTTGACCTGCATCCCTTTTTATAGTGAAACTGGATTTGGATCTCTGTTGTCCATGTGGGGTAAATGATTAGGAGTAAGGAAAGAGGGTATAGGGCAGCCACAACAGCATTTGAATGCTGCAATGCAACTTTCATTTAGCAGAATTGTTAAGTGTCCTTTTTAACTTACAGGGAGTCTGTCTGGCAGCATGTGTTTAGAGCTGTGACAGGACAGAAGGGACAGTCCATCCATCTTGCTTTAGTATCTTAAGATCGTGACCTTGATCAAGGCAGGCGCAGAGGGCTTATCCACCTGTGCAATACTGAGGCTGGGGCATCAAAGAGGAAAAGCAACACTGGAAAAGATTTAGAAGCACATGAGTTCAGTCAGGCAGTGCACATCCACTGACATCTGGAGCACATCCAAGGGATGAGTTTCTGATGAATATGGAATACACCATCTGCCTCAGTGAAGGACAGATGAGATTACAGGTTGTTTGGTTAATACTCATTCTCTGTAGGAGGCACTGTAGAAGTAAAGCCTCAAGAGAATCAGGTAGCCCAACACTGTAACTGGGAGAAGCATACTCCTGTGTGACAGAGGCACATTTTGGCACTTCTTAAGTTAGTCAGTGATTATGTAATCTTTAACCACCCAGTCGATAAAGATTTGGTGCTTCAGAGATAAGCTTTTCTAAGAGCAGGAGAAAACACTTCGCTTAAATTTTCCCACAGCAAAAGTCTCTCAAGTTACTGAGTGAGTTACCAGCTCCTTTAATACTTTTCTCTGGGGCAGCCGATACATTACGAGATTACATTTATATTACTGCAGAATCCAAAGCTGCTGCTCTGCACTTAAGTGGCAGCAATGAGATCAAAAGGCCTTGAATGACACAGGTTTTGTCAGGCTTTGTCTGTAGCAAAGCCTGCAGGGTTTAACAGCAAAAAGCTGTACCTGCGATGTAAAAATAACCATGCCAGCTGCATGTCATAAATACTGTCCATCATCACACACTTCATTGTGTACCAGTCTCTTTCCTAAACTTGTTAATAAGCATGTCTCATTTTTTTCTGCAGTACAGTAACTGTTCAAGATATCCAAGACCACCTGTCCCAAGGTCACGTAGCCATCGTCCTAGTGAATGCAGTTTTGCTATTGTGTGATCTTTGCTCAAGTCCTGTCAAATACTGCTGCTTCCTCCCCATTGGACAGAAGTGCTTCTGCAGGAATCCTGACTACCAGGGCCATTTCATTGTGTTATGTGGGTACAACAAAGCCTCAGGGAGTATTTACTACAACAACCCTGCCTATGCTGACCGTGAGTAGCCTGTTCCTTTTGGGTGGATTTTCAGCCACCGCTGCATTGCTAACATGTCACACAGCCACAGCTGAGCTTTCCCTAATAGCACACATGTATTTCAAGCATCACTAACCAATTTGTCAGAAGGGGTTTTGCCACATTAATTAAATTAGTGCTGCATTTTGTGCTGTGATTTACGTGAGGTATTGGGATACACATTCTAGCAAACTCACTTGGCTTTCAGATGGGTTAGAGAGATGCTGAACTGTTCCTATGTGCAGAATGTAACAGGATGGCAAATTTAGTGCCTATTTACAGCATTACTGCAGTAAGCACTGCCTTTGAGGTGAAAAGATCTGCCTCAGTAAAGCTGTAACCTAAGCTGATAGGTCTAGTCTGTGTACTACTTACTGTTCTTTGGAGAGGCTGCTGAACCCCGGGTAAGATCCTTTCACACGCAAATTCCTCCAGATTTTTACTACCATTTTGTTCCTCCCTAACAGGAACATGCTGCACCAGCATCAGTAACTTTGAGGAAGCCAGGACAAGTTACGGCACTGATGAAGATATTCTGTTCATCTACACAGACAGCTGACATCCATGCCTGGTACTTCCGGTCCTTTCCTGTGCAGCCTGCATGGTGGCTGGCTGCTTGTCTCAGGACTCCCCCTGCAGAGACCTTGCTTCTGAATTGCAGTGGGATCTTAAACAAAGGAGGCTTTATAGACATTGATAGGACTATATTGCAATGCTGTCTTTACCTTTTTTTTTTCCCTGATGACATACCTGATTTTGCAATGTGTGTCTCACTTCTCCCCGCCCCCCAACACTGCACATTTGATAGTTTTAAAATACAGGCCCAGAGCTTGTTCACTTTGAGCTTATTTTAAAATTAATCACGAGAAGAAAAGCACCAAATTGCTGAATTTTAACACTTGGTAGTACATGCATAGGTTTAGGTAAACAAAACTAGGGGAAAAAAATACCTGTTTCTCTCTTTGTCAAAGCATCGAGGGCTGCTCTTCATTCTAAATCTAGGGATTTGAGGTTTAGGAGGGTATTATGAAACAAAAACAATATTAACTTAAACCACTTTTAAATAACAAAAAAATGCCTTGCTAGCTCATCAGTATTTTCTGCATTATACGAATGAAACACATTTACTTAAGGAAACTTTCCATGTACCAAGTTCCCCTTATACATAATTAACACTTATACCACTGCATTAAATTTTGAATCATAGTTACTGGTATTGTTTCCTTGTACTACAACTCAGTCTCTTTTGGCTAAATCCTCTAGGATGACTGCTCAGAGCTTGGGCCAAAAGTTTAAGTGAAGATCTTTTATTTGTACCTCAAAGTCTTTATTGCTCTTTGCAAAAACTTCTCAATATTATGCCACCCACATGCTCCAGGTTCTGCAGAATCCATTCCAAATACAAACTTTAAACTTATTTAAGCAAATACAGAAGATTATAGTAACCAGTAATGGTACACATTTTGTGTGTCAATACCTGACAGTATATACTGTTATGTAACTAAAATGCTGACTCGTAATTTAAGCCAAATTTTGATGCTGGTGTTAGTTCAGTGACCTTCTAAGAAGAGCTGAAATCAATTAAGAAGAAGGGGAATACAGATGTCTCTTTGCTACAAGTAAAGAGGCAGGAAGTCAGATTTGCTAGCTCTTACACTACAGCTGTATTTGGATTAAGTTGGAGCTACTGTATTCAGAGATTAAGTGAAACTGTCAGCAGCCCATTCATAATCCTTTCATGTGTTACCTGGGTTTAATTGTTTTGCTGAGGAGCACTGTAAAGTGTAAGAAATAGCCACCTATTTGAGATTCATATATCACAGTTTTCTGAAAGTCTTGATCTCCAGTCCTATCTATGTTGAAATGGGTAGTAAAATGTTGATGTAAAGCTAGCAGAATTTATTCTGCACAGAAGACAGATCCTACACCTTTGGGATGGCTTTAGGAAGAGAACTGTTTCTGGAACTGGGTGGAATAACAGTAAAAGGACATTGGTATACAGTGGTGGAAATAATAAATAGGAATCTACTTTCAGCATAGTAAAAAAAATTCTGAGAGAAAACAATTTCTTTTATCAGTTGTTGACTTACTGAAAAGTATCTTGAAAATACTAAATAAGTATGTACAGCAGAATCAAGAGCACCCTCTTGTACAAAGGCTACAACCAGCAACAGACATTTAAAATGCAGCAGCCTTTATAAAAAGTTCTAAACAAACAAGTATGTGACAAAACTTTTCCGTTTATCAAATTTTGCTTCACGTTCTGGCACTTACACTTGCAAAATGAGTAAAAATTCGGATGTGATTTGTGAGCAGTAGAACCAGTACATCAGTGCCACCAGCAGAATCCCAGAAAAAAGGTACAAAACCTATTCTAGATAATGCCTTCCAACTCCTCCAAAATAAGTCACCAGAAGGCTACTGATCTGGGAATTTTATGTCCAAGTTCAAAATCACGATGTTTGATTTGGAGAGCCTGTATTAGCTATGTTACTAATTAACAGGTATGTAAACTAAGATAGAGTACTTCCTTAACCTGTGCATTTTCAGGTAGGTAGTTCACTGAATGCCATTCAACTGCCACAGGATTTATTTTAGAGCAAGCTAAATAAAAACTATTCTTAAAAAAGGCTTGTAATTGACATTTAGCCTCTTACTGGGTCAGTTATCCTAATACATGAACTTAAGGGCATGCCAAGTGTTCTGGAGTGCACAGATAGGTGTAACGATATTGACTGTTCAGTGTTTGGTACCTAGGGTTTAAATACTTCAACAAAACTGAAAGATAAAGAAACAAAGCTATTCAAGCTAATGCAGACAAAAGGAGAGCTCCGCTATTTCAACAGAATCTCTTATAGCCACCAAATGAAAGAGTTACGAGAGAGTTTGAGAAGAAACTTCTTCTCAGTGAGGGTGACAAAGCACTGGCCCAGGCTGCCCAGAGAGGTTGTGGAGTCTCCTTCTCTGCAGACATTCAAAACCCGCCTGGACGCCTTCCTGTGCAACCTCATCTGGGTGTTCCTGCTCCAGCAGGGGGATTGGACTGGATGAGCTTTTGAGGTCCCTTCCAATCCCTAACGTTCTGTGATTCTGTGATTCTGTGAGATGAAAATACAAGGAAGAAACAGCCAAGTGAAAAGACTGAGTATTTATATGACACAAATTGAGATCAAAAAGCAGCTCACTGTGCAAGCATTCAGAACATGTGCATTTTCTGAAACTGTTTCCCATTACAAGATTGTCTGTCAAAATACTCATTCTGAAAATGTTTTGTCACTTTGTTTCCTTCATGATGTCAATAGCAAAGGAAGGGGTATTTTACATGCAGGGATTTTATACATAAATATATTTTTATTTGTAATTAAGCCATTCTCAATAAAGGTTTAAAGTCACAGACAACCCTGTAACAAAATGTAGCAAGTGCATTTATTAACTAGCTTATGATGAAAAATGTTGGGAAATCTTTAAAGTACGTGTTACGTATTTAACTGGAAATGACACAGCTGAAATGGTAATTTGGGGAACAAAAAAAAAGAGCTCAGGTCTTTATTTCAGGTATAAATTCATAGTTGCTAGGCTGAAATTATATTCATTCTGCACTTCCTGAACACCTACTGCATCACTTGAATCATAGAAAACACAATTTCAATATACACTCGTAGCAGACAACAGTAAATGTATTGTTATCTGTATTCAACGGCTGTTTTGGGTACTCTCAACCACTGAGTACCCCACTGCAGTGCAGCTCCAGGGAAGCAGTTCTCACAACCCATACTGATCCCTGAAAGCAACTCCGTGGCTTTCTGTACACAAGGAAAAGTACGCAACTGCACCAGTCCGCTTTAGCTGTTGTTTCTGTTTTTTGCCTTACAACACAGTACTGAGCTTCTGAAGATATTAAAAGCATCTGTCTGCAGCATTACTTCTGCACTTGAAGCAGCCCATCAAATACATTGGTGCAGCTGTGGTTGTAATACGTAAAGGGACACAAAGAACCAAAGTGGTCTCGCTTTACGCTACCCACAGACTTTCAAACACCTGGGACATGTCCGGGACATTACTTAGCTCTAACAGAACTGCATCAAATAGTTCACAATTAAAAAAAACCAACAAAACCAAAATAAAAAAACAATCATGAAAACAATTTATGTCTCCTTTCTCCCTAAATTATGGATTTGGGTAGAGGGTAGAAACAAAAGCAGTAGTAGATGCACAACACAAAGCCTGTGTAAAAATGTATGTCCTCTGAACTCATCTCCACCAAACTACACCACAGTACACACTACTGAATAAATTTCATCATCATTTTATATAAAGGTATTCGTACTGGATCTATTTACAGTAAGGAACAAATTTTGGACTCAGTGCAAATGACAAAAAAAGCCCAACAAGAAGCCATTTTTCAATTCTTTTACTTAACGCAGTTTTGAACCCTACTATTTAAAAGTTGTTCACAGGAAATTAAAATGACAAAGTACCAACTCGTGATCCAACAGTACCTTCTAATTTGTTACATAACATTTGATTGTAATAACATGCTTACTCTCTGATTATATTGGGTACAAAATAAGGCTGGACTGCTTCACTGAGCTTGTCTGCATACATTTCATATCTACCAGTCATCTGGAAAAGAAAAAAAAAAAATCAAACCTTCAGTTCTTTCAATGAGCTATGAAAGTATTTCTGTAGAAAATACTTATATTCACCATTTTTTAATGATGACATAATTGTCCCAAACAGTAAAATCGTAATTCAGACCTGTCAGTCTGACCTCGGTGCCAGGGAAGGTGATGGAACAAATCATCCTGAGTGCCGTCACACGGCACATGCAGGGCAACCAAGCGATCAGGCCCAGTCAGCATGGGTTCAGGAAGGGCAGGTCCTGCTTGACCAATCTCATCTCCTTTTATGACAAGGTGATCTGCTTGGTGGATGAGGGGAAGACTATCCTCTTCTGAGTGGTTCCGAGACAGGTGAACTACTTCCTTCTTGCCAGAATGTAATAAGGACAATTTAACTATTTTGCTGCTGTAAGTTTAGCAAAGACATTCTACCTGAAGTCCCTTTCAGGCATCACTGAATGCAAATTACAGACACCAGAGCATGTTAAATAGGTTCCTACTTGCTGTCAAGGGTTTTCTCCAGTAGATAAATAATTACTTCATACTTCCTCATTCCCCTCATATCAACAAGAACTACCTCTGTCTTGGCCGCAAATGAGAGGAAAAGGAAACAGATAAGCCCCGTCATATAAACAAAAGCCACAGCTGTGCCTCATGTGCCAAAAGACCAACAATAGCAATCCACACCATCAACATAAAACTATGGTGCTGAAATCACAAGACTTGAAGACAACAAAAAATAAGCAATTCTATACGAAACAGCTGAAGGTCAGTGTTTTGCTTTTACTGTTTGTTTTTCCTAATCAATACAATTGCTTTTGTTCAGATACCCCTACTAGCTGCTACAAGCAATGCTCCATATACTTCCTGACACACACAATCTCTGCTCCACAATAGGGGCTTCAGATTTCAGTAGCAAAGCAAAACTAAATGCCTTCCATTAAGAAAATGGGGAATTTCTCAGCACAATTTAATTCTACTACGTCAACAACCATATACCTACCACATGCATCTGCAGAACAACAAATGCAATTCTGTCCAGAAGACAACCCGAAATTACTTTTTGTCTTTCGTCCCTATATATGGATTGGCAGCATTACCAAAGAAATTCAGGTGTAGCTAAGAAATTACCATGTTT